CTAGGCCTGAGGGTACTCAGAACCACAGCCAGCTTTAGCCGTTATGGAGAACTGGAGAACGGGCAACGGCCAACAGTTCTACCCCTTAAGGCAGTGTTAAGAAGGATTCTGAAGCTGTGTCTAACCTCCGTGGAAAACAGTGCTGTGCGGAAAAAGATTTGGGGGCTGTGCCTCACCTTACTGGGACTAAGTGCTGTGATTGACTAGTGCTGTCTGTGTTGACTGCAGACAGAGGAGTGATGGTGGGATGGGCCAGCCATTCACAACACCTGATGTTGTCTAAGCCTCTTGTATCTTACACATGAACACTATTATAACCATCCCCACTTTACACGTGAGGAATCCGGGGCCCTGGGAGGACAAATGACTTGTGCAAGGGGCTAGGCGATACCTCTAAAATATCAGCCGCAGCACCCAGCACCCAACAGGCAGTCAGTTAACTTACATGTGGCGAGGCTTCCCCTCTCCCATCAGGTCTTTCTGCATAGCTCAGGCTACCCCGGCATCACTCCCCAAGAACTGGTGGGGGTGGGGCTGGATAGTCGGCTGTGTGTGATTGCACATCAGATCCTCAGCAGGACCAACAGAATCAGAGCTGGGATGTTACCTCACAGCCTTGTCGGGAGAATCAGGGGTTGCCAGTGTGAAGGGATCAGAACTCAGTCCTGGGCCTTTCGGGTGTTCAGAACCCCCCCCATTTGGAGAGGTAGCCACTTACCTGCTGTGTGACTTCAGGCAAGTGATGGCCCTCTCTGGGCCTCCACCTTTCCTGGATGAAGTGAGGGTGGAGCCAGGTGGTCTCTGAGAGCCTTTCCTGTGGTTCCCTGTGTGTGTGACCGGCTAGCTAGGGGTGCTGAGTAGGAGCAAGTACCCAACATGGCCACGGGCCTGTCCCTTCCTGGACAGACCAGCAGTTCTAACCTCCAGGTGCTCACTGACCTCCACTGTTCATACCACTCGGTTCCCCCAAAACCCTGCTAGGCAGGTATTGTTCTGATCCCATGGGTGGAGAAGTGGAAACCCAGAGAGGTGGAGTGGCTTGTCCAAGGCCATTCCGCCTGGAGAAAACAGAGATGAGACTCAAACCCTAGGTTTGACTCCCAGTCCAGTGCTCCTTTCTCTGTTTCCCACAGCCCACCTTGCAGCGCCCTTCCCATTCTCTTAGCATCTGTGTTCTCTCTGCCAAGCAGAAGCAAAGAAGAATTAGAGGCAGGGCCAGGAGGTTTTTCTCTCAGACTGTATTCAACTAGGCTCAGGCTTGGACCTTGGTTCAGACACTGACAAGCGGGGTGACGATGTCAGAGGCTCCACCCGGAAAGGCCCAGGACTGAGTCCTGCTCCCTGCCAGGCCCTGTGCTGGGCGGCCTCAAGCACCCAGAGCTGACTCAGCCTCTCCCTGTCTGGTGGAGACAACAAGGAAATACAACACATTACAACGGGGGGGGGGGCGGGCGCCTAACTAGCCCTAGGGGTCAGGGAGGGCTTCCTGGCTGAGGAGGTGTCTACATCCAGGGCAGAAGATGAGTGGGAGTCTCCCAGACAAAGTGGGGGGAAAAGAAAGAAGTATCATGCGAGGGAAGGGGGTGTGGGGGGGTGGCTCAGAGGCAGGAAACCACGAGTGGGAGGAAGTGAGAAATTCCACGTGGCTGGAGTGTGGAATGGTGGGGGCAGTGGTGGGACAGGAGCCTGGGGCTGGACACGCAGGGCCTGGGGTGCCATGGGGGTGGACTGGACTCTGGCCTCAGGATAGTAGGGAGCCATGGAAGGGTGTTTTTTTCCGTTGTTTGTTTTGTTTTTTGAGTCAGAGTTTCACTCTGTCACCCAGGCTGGAATGCAGTGGCACACTCATGGCCACCACAGCTTCGATCTGCTGGGCTCAGGTGATCCTTCCACCTCAGCCTTCCAAGTTGCTGCAACCACAGGCATACACCACCTCACCCAGCTAATTTTTAAATTTATTATAGGGATGAGGTCTCACCAAGTTGCCCAGGCTGGTCTTGAACCCCTGAGCTCAGCCAGACCTCTCGCCTACACCTCCCAGAGTGCTGGGATTAATCTGGGTGGTGGCCTGGTCAGATTCACGTGGTGCAAAGGCCATTCCCTGGCTGTATGGAGGAAGAGCGGAGGCCGGCAGGGAGGCAGGCTGGGACCTTCCCAAGTGTGTGGGGTGGAAGGTGACTATGTAGCGGGCCTGCATTGAAGGCTGGGATCAGTGAGCTAATGTGTGAACATCTCCACGCGGTGTCTGAGAAAGGTCAGGGCGGCCAGCAGACCCCGTGTGGTCTGTCCAGGCATGGGGGCCTGTACAGATGCCCCTAAAGAGAGCTAGGTGGGCAGTCCATGCCTGTGAGCCCCATATGGTTGGAGCACCAGGTAGGGAAACTGAGGCCAGAGCCCAAGTGGGTCATCCTGTTCAGTCGTGGGAGTTGCAGCTGAGGGGCCCACCCCATGAGGTAGGCCTCACCCCTGTCTTCACCACGGACCAGCATGGGGGTCTGGAGCTGCCTGAGTCCTGGCCTGGGCTTGGTTTTCCCCACTACCCCACACAAGGCCCTGGGGACTCCAAAGGCCCTGCCTGCCCAGAGGTTATAGGGGCTGTCCTGTCAGGGGATCTCTTGAAGTGCCAACTTCCCTTTCCTGTCCCACTCCTTCCTTTGAGCTGCCGGACCCCCTGACTGTGTGGGCAGGGAGGGGCTGGGGGTTTCCTGAGAAGCCCTGGACTGTCCCCACTTCGGCCTGAGTCACACTGAGAATTCAACAACGGTTCCTTGAGTGTGTGCTACGTGCCAGGCGGTTCTAAGTGCCGGGGAGGTGGCAGAGGACAAGCGCTCTGCCCTCGTGGGGCTGGTGCTCTCATGGGGGCATGGACACCGAACAAGCATGTGACGTGTGTGAGTGACAGACATAGTGAAAAGTGCTGTCGAGAAGCGTGAGGTGGAGGAGGGACACAGGGAGTGTTGGGGCCTGGGAATTCTACATGGGGGGAACGTGATTTGAAGAGACAAGAAGGCAAGCCTGTGGCCACCTAGGGAGCAAGAATGCCAGCAGAGGGAACAGCCAGAGTGGAGGCCCAGAAGAGGCGCAGGCGTGGTGTGTCTGAGGAGCAGAGGCGGGGAGCCAAGCAGGACTAGAGTCAGGGGCGAGTGCCGGGGCTCACCCTGCTGCTCTGTGGACCACTGTGAGGGCTCAGGCTCTACTCCAAAGTCGATGGGAGCCGTGGAAGGATCCTGAGAGAGGCCTCCCAGAGGGGTCCTAAGTGATCTGACTTGACACACAGCTACCCTGTGTAACCAGGGGAGAGTAAGGCACAGAGCGCTTCCCTGACCTACCAGAATCCCACCCCTCAAAGACTCCAGGTGTGTGTGGCACCAAGGTCCATGTGCTTTCCATTTCTCCACACTGTCTCCGGGAGACACCTGGGTTCTGCCAGAACGTGTTAGAGGCTGAGTGGACCTGTAGGGTCAGCCCCACAGAGAGCTCAAGGAACCAGAGCCTCAACCTGGCTTTGGCTGCCTGCTCTCTCTCTTTTACATATATATATATATGTATATATGTATTTATATATATATATATATATGTATTTATATATATATATATATATAAAGTTATTTTTATTTTTGTAGAGATAAGTTCTCACTATTTTGCCCAGGCTGGTCTGGAACTCCTGGCGGCTTCAAGCGATCCTCCCACCTCGGCCTCCCAGAGTGCTGGGATTATAGGCATGAGTCGCCATGCCTGCCAGCCCCCTGCTCTCTAGCAAACTGGGTCTTGCCAGAACTGAAATAATGTCTAGGATGCTATGTCTCAGGTCACTCAGGAGCTTCACTCTTTGTTCCCCTTCGCTTCTAACTCCCATCCTGTCCCCTTGGGGACTGTCAGACGAAGAAACCAGGCTCACAAGGAATGGGGCAGAAGATCAGATTAGCTGGGGACAGAGTGGATTGCTGCTCTAAAGGGGTCTTTGGGAGATGGTCCCCTTCTCCAGCCCAGAGCAAGGACCGCTGATCGCTAGAATGTTCCCTCCAGGAGTTTTTTTCCCCCTGTCTCCCCAGTGTCAGGCACATGTCTGGCAAGTAGTAGCTCCATAGTAGTTGTTGAATGAGCATGTGGCTTTCAGGTCCGTGGCAATGGGGATGGGGGCGGCCGACGGGCCCTCCACAGACTATGCCGGGCAGCCCCCTCTGCCTTGGGCATGCTCAGTTGGTGCTGGGCAGCTCCCAGGGGGTGTGGGAAGCTTTCCCAAAACCCAGGTCTGGATGGGGGAGGCTTGTGGAGAGGAGGAGACTGGCTATGTTGTATCTTATGAGGTGCTGGTTGGACTTTGCAGAAGGTCATTGATGAGTACACATGATTTGTGCACTTTTCTGTGTGTAGGGTGTGTAGGTTATTCTTTAATGAAAAGTTTTTAAAAATCAAGCCGAGTACGCATGTCTGAGTCCCATGTGGAAGAATGGCCAGGGGGATGGGTGTCCATTCATGGGGTATATATTTATTAAGCACCTACTATATATTGGGCACGGATTTAGGCATATTGATGCGATGGTAAGACAGGCAAGGCCTTGCCCTCATGGCCTTACATGTTGGTGGAGGAGGGGCGAGAGGGCGGGCCCAGCCATAAATGAGGAACCAAACAGAGAATTGCAGAAGTGACTGTTACAAAGGTTAATAAATGGGATGGGTGATGTGACACTAGGGGGTGTTTCAGCTAGATGGGCAGGGAGACCTCTCTGAGGAGATGACATCGGGCAAAGACCTAAATGATGAGGAGTCACAGTGGGGAGTTGGGAGAACAGTAAAGAGAACAAGTGCAAGGGCCCTGAGGCTGGAGAGAGCCATTCAAGGCAGCCGCGGTGGCAGGACCAATGTGAACAGAGGAAGGTGGGAGGGATGAGATGAGTTCTAAGAGAGCAGGGGCCTTGAATGCCAAGGCAGTGAGTCTGGGTTTTATTCTGCCTGGTGGAAAAGCAAAAAAGTGACCTCGACGTCCTCTGTCCCTAGGTCTCCAGTCCAGAGGGCACCTTCTGCCAACATGTCTGTGGATCCCCTATCCAGCAAAGCCCTGAAGGTGAGAAGGCAGCCCTGTGGTCCACAGCGAAGCCCTCCCTCCCCGCCCCTGCTGGGCCTCTCCGCTCCCCTGGAATCCCCAAGGGTGGCAATGCCGGCACCAGGCCTTCATGATGCCAAGGGGAAGGGCTACGGGCCAGGAACCAGGAGGCCTGACTCTGGTCACCGGTCTCTACCTTTCGCGGCCTGCTTCCCCCTCGGGCCAGTGCCCCTTGAGGCATTCAGATGCTTTCCCGGCCGGGTTTCGCTGGCTGAGTCCAGGACTTGGCGCTGGGTTAGAATTCCGGCCGAGCCCCTGGGGGCCTCCTTCCGTGTTCCGATCCCGGGTTGGCCCGGTTTCCCCTTCCGGATTCCTGCTGCCCTTCGGGGTCTCGGATCAAGTCCAGCCGCCACCTCAGTGGCTAAGGCGGTGAGGCGGGGCGAGCGTCCCCAGCCCCTGCCGCGCACCAGTCCCAGGACTCGGGCCCGCGGGCGGGAGTGAGTCCCGGGCCTCGGTTTCCCCATGCCCGCAGATCAAGCGCGAGCTGAGCGAGAACACGCCGCACCTGTCGGACGAGGCGCTGATGGGGCTGTCGGTGCGCGAGCTGAACCGGCACCTGCGCGGGCTCTCGGCCGAGGAGGTGACGCGGCTCAAGCAGCGGCGCCGCACGCTCAAGAACCGCGGCTACGCCGCCAGCTGCCGCGTGAAGCGCGTGTGCCAGAAGGAGGAGCTGCAGAAGCAGAAGTCGGAGCTGGAGCGCGAGGTGGACAAGCTGGCGCGCGAGAACGCCGCCATGCGCCTGGAGCTCGACGCGC